TTTGAGATAAAGTTTATAAAAGTCAAGTGAAGCCAATAGTGTATTCTTATTTTGTTATCTTTTTTTCTGTCACAAAATCAGGTGTCTCACCTATCATAGGACAGACAGGAAACTTTGAAATAAGCATGGTTGGCTGTAGAGAAGGAGGTTCCATAACCCAACTCTAGAGCCAACTTTTTAATAAGCAGAGCAACAAAACTATTTACATATCATCCATATCTAAAAGACATCTCAATTCTGCTAAACAATTGAGTGATGGGGAGGGACCAGAGCAACCTGAAAACAGAGAAGGCTCAGAGATTCCTGGTTATTAGTGCAACCATGGCAACCATGGCAAGTGGCCAAAGCGGCTACAGCACCAGTGGGTCTGTCTCTCCACCCCCACCCCTCTCCCCCCACCCTCCCTCCCTACATTGGTTCAAAGCTTCATCCCAGCTGGTGCCTAGTTGGCCTAGATCTGGCCTGGACCAGGAAAAAACAAAGCAGTGAGAAAGTTTCCTTGGCTGTGGCTGTGGCTGTGGCTGTGGCTGTGGCTGTGGCTGTGGCAACAGAGGTGGCAAATTTAAAGAGACAGATACAGTAAAGCAAAACCAGTAAACATATGGTACACAAAATGTTCAAGGGACAGAGTCTGCAGAAACAAAACCAGTAAACAAAGAACATAGAACATTCACACAGTCAACGCCGGGTGTTGGTGGCACGCGCCTTTAATCCCAGCACTCGGGAGGCAGAGGCAGGCAGATTTCTGTGAGTTCGAGGCCAGCCTGGTCTACAGAGCGAGTTCCGGGACAGCCTCCAAAACAATACAGAGAAACCCTGTCTTGAAAAACAAAAAAAAATTCACACATCAAAAAAGATGGTCAAAAAGAAAACAGAGTGACCACCTTCATTTGTACTTTTAACTGGGCTTGAACAGTTTCTGTCTCAGTTCCCAACATCCAAGAACCATGTGGGCAGAGTGACTTTTTGCTAGTGCCCTGGGCAGAGAGACAAAACCCAGAATAAAACACAGAAGAACCAAGAACCAGGCACCAAAACCAAGAGAAAACAAAAAACAGATGGGCATTGCAGCATGTTGCTAGTGCCCTGGACGGGCGTTTGTGTACCTCATCAGGAGCATCCCTACCCCCATGCAGGATCCCAGCAGAAACAGTACCACATGTAACAGGAGACACCTTTTATGGAATATCGACAGAGGCCTCCTCAGACAAGCACTTGCTGGTGTCTTTCTAGTGCAGCAGTTTTCCTAACAATCCACTAGCGTGAAAGCATGCCTCAGGACCTCGGGACATCTTCAAGGTGCACGCCACTCCTGAGGCAGCCTCCCAGTCCTGGAGTTTCAGGGTGAAGGTCTGGCTTCAGAATTCGCATTGGGTTCTTGATCTCACTGGGGCCTCCAATTGTCAATCCCATGAATGAGACTAAAGATCATTACCCAAATTCTTTTAGTCAAAATAAGCAAGCTTTATTTTCTATTTCTATGGTAGTGTGAATGTAATTGGCCCCCATAATCTCAGAGAGAGTGGCACTATTAGGAGGTGAGGCTTTGTTGGAGGCAGTGTGTTGTTGTGCCGGCAGGCCTTGAGGTTTTCTATGCTCAGGATACCACCCAGTGTGTTAGTCAACTTCCTGTTGCCTGCAAGATGTAGGACTCTTAGCTACTCCTCTAGCACCACACCCGTCTGCACACCGCCATGCAGCACTCCCTGCTATGATGATAATTGACTGAACCTCTGAGACTGTAAGCTGTCACCTCAATTCAATGTTTTCCTTATAAGAATTGCTACGGTCACCCTAACTAAGACACAGGGCTATCTCCCTAAAACAGGGTTTGAGAAAAGAGCATTGAGGGGCTGGAGAGATGGCTCAGCAGTTAAGAGCACTGGCTGCTCTTCCACAGGTCCTGAGTTCGATTCCCACATGATGGCTCACAACCATCTGTAATGTGGTGCCCTCTTTGGGTTTACAGGGATACATGCAGGCAGAACACTGCATTCACAAAAAATAAATAAATCTTTAAGCCAGGCAGTGGTGGTGTACACCTCTAATCCCAGCACTCGGGGTAGAGGCAGGTGTGTCTTTTTGGTTTGGAAGCCAGCCTGGTCTACAGAACAAGTTCCAGGACAGGCTCCAAAGCTTCACAGAGAAACTCTGTCTCGAAAAACAAACAAACAAACCATGCAAGGCGAGACAGTTTCCAAGGACTTTTGGTTACACAGGAACTTGGTAAAACATCTCAAAATTTATAAAATTATTTGGCAGAACATCTTAGGGGATAGGGTGTGAAACATGTCAAGACCTGGTGTGCCACCACCGCCCGGCCGGCTTTTAATTTTAAAATGGAGTCAGGCTGGTCCATCACCCATGGTAAAATAGCAACAAAAAATGTGGTGTGCTTCTGTGATTCCAGAATCCGTGTGGTGAGGAGGAGACAGACAGAAGTGTCTGGAAGAAATGGAGCTAGACTGGACTGTACAGCGTAGCACAGAACCAAGAGACCCCGAGGCCTCAACAAGGTGCAAGGTGAGTGCCCACTCTGCAAGTGGTCTTCTGATTTGCTCACGTGTGCCTGAGTGTGTGCACGTGCTTACTAGCACATGTCTGTCATACCGACATTTGGGAGGCAAAGGCAGGAAGATCAAGGTCAAGGTCATTCTTTTCCCTTTTTTTTCTTTTTCTTTTTCTTTTTTTTTTTTTTTTTGGTTTTTACGAGACAGGGTTTCTCTGTATTGTTTTGGAGGCTGTCGGTCCAGCCTGGCCTCGAACTCACAGAGATCCGCCTGCCTCTGCCTCCCGAGTGCTGGGATTAAAGGCGTGCGCCACCAACACCCGGCTCCCTTTTTCTTTTTGAGACAGGGTTTCCCTATGTAGCCCTGGCTGTCCTGGAACTTGATTTGTACATCAGGCTGGCCTCGAACTCACAGAGATCTGCTTGCGTGTGCTACCACCACCTGCTGGCACCTTAGTACATCCTTAACTGCATAGTGAGTTTGAGGCTAGCCTGAGATCCTGTCTATCCTTGCACAATAAGCTGAAACAAACAACTTCTTGGGATATGCTTTTCAATAGATTGTAATTTGTTCTGGAGTATAGAACACCTACTTTCTTCAGAACTTAAAAGCATTAGTAAAAGTTCAAAAAAGTTTGCAGAAAGTAATCTTTTTTTTTTTTTTCTTTTGCCTCGGTTTTAATGCCCGAGTGAGTTTGGGGAAAAGCCATGAAACGTGTTTAAACCTTGGCCACAATTATTCCATTTCAGTGACCTTGTTTATAAAGTAAGCTTGTGAGTACTGCCGGTTGTCATCAGTACAAAGCTAGACCACACCCCTCGCGCTGCAAGCTGCCCCCCTCAGCTGTGCCCTGTGATCGTATAGCCTGTCATCTCCTGCACTGACGTCCATCTGACTTCTCCTTTGTGGCTTCTGGGGTTCCTGCAAAACTTCTGAAGATAAAAATCACTAGCTTGTATTTATTAATCACAAACTCTGCCTTTGTAGCCCAGGCTGGCCCTGGGTTTGTGGCTATCTTTTGGCCTCTGAGCTCTTACCCATGCCGTTCCTCATCTGCTTAGGTGTTTTTTTCCTTCCTGAAAAGCTGCTTGTATCAGTTTGTGGGATGAGAAAGCATCTTCCTCTCAGCCGGAGCAGGCATGTTACTGCTGCAGGCCTTGGCCTCACTGTTCCGTGCCTGGTTTCCCTACTGTCATCCTCTGCAGGGTATTTACTTCCCCATTCCCCCTTCCTGGCATGCTCTCAGCCCTGTGACATCTGAAACCATGAGCCTCCCTGACTAGGCTGGCTGTGGGATCCCAGAGAAATGTCTTCCTGAGATGACCCTGTCTCCTTTTTGCCCTCCCTCCTCCTTTCTGACAGAGGGTCTCACTTCATATTCCAGGCTGACCTCGAACTTGTGATGACTGGCCTGCGGCCTGCTGGCATTATAGGTGTAAACCACCATGCCTGGTTTCCTGCCTTCTAGACACTGAAGGCACTAAAAGTAGGCCTTTGGTGCCTCAGTGGTTTAGCAAGAGGATGTGTTGTCCAGGGCCAGGCCAAGGGCCACTCAGGGCTGCAGGTGGGGCTGGGGCTTAGTCTGGAACACTATTTGGGGCTGGTTTGGACCTTACTGGGCCTGGTCTGATCCAGAGTTGAGACCAAAACATTATGGGGCTCACTTTGGAACTGAGTGTGTGCACTGGTCCTCCGCTGCAGAGGAGGGTGGGGGCGACAGTGAGTGCAGCCTCCAGGCTGGCTTGATGTCCCTCACTGCTGTGCTCTGCCCTGGTGCACACCTTTGCCAGCTGCTGTGGCTTGCCTCTCGGGGATCCCTCTGGGTCCTGTCCTGTCCCTGACGGCTGCTGGGGTCAGGTGGGGCGTGTGAAGCCCCCTCCTCTCCCCGTAGACTACTCGGAGAGTCCAGGTAGTCCCCACGCTTTACACTGTAGGGAGTCTTACAGTGACCCCATGATTCTAAAGTAGTGGGGCCCAGCCCTGCCTGCTGTGTGGGCTGGAATAGGGGTGTACGAGTGTGGTGGTGGAGAGTGAGCCTGTGGCTGTCTGGAACTGGGCAGGGTCAGGGAGGCAGTTGGGGCTGGTGACTAGTCAGTCAGGACTGGACACCTACTTCTTCATTGTTCTTAGAGCGGCCTCCATTCAAGCTTCTCTAGAACACTGAAGTGACCTGAGGGCTGTGACCCTGGCCTCTGACTCCCACTGGTCAAAACCCCTGTTGCGTGGGGTTTGGTGAACCTGTGGGTCTCTCCATGTTGTCCTCTCTCTCCTCAGAGGCCTGTTTTCCTTTCCCTAGCTAATCTCAGCTGAACATGGAGCCAGCCCCCTTACTGGGGCCTCTGAAGCTTCAATACCACACGGCTAGCAGACCCCCGAGCCCTTCCCCTGGACAGGGTGTCATGATGCATCAGGGCAGCCACTGGGATGGGGGGGGAGGTGTGATGGGACATGGTCCCTAATTTCCCCAGTCACAGACACACAGACCAGAGGCAGTGCTGAGCCTTGTATTAGAGGCCGAATCCCCAGGCCGGTTCCCCCTGTGCATTCTGGGTGTGCTCTGACAACTGGACCAGCGTGAATGCGCACTGTCATCCTCCTAAGGACATGGTGAATGTGTGTGTGCCTTTGTGGGGATGCTGGGAGTTAGCGTCCAACACCAGGACATGAGTGTTTCCCTCCTCACAGCAGCCCAGGAGTGAGAGGGCGTGCCTGGGGATGGCCATCTTCAGGGGTCTTGGTTCCACCCTAGGCTCACCCCCCCCACTGCAGTCCTTCCTTTAAGAGATCCTTCTCGTGCCTGGGGCTGTGGTAGAACACCTGCCTCACCCTGTGGGTCTTAGGGCTCATTTCCTCCCCTGGGAGCTGGGAGCCCAATTCCACGTGGAGGGTAGAGTGTGTGTGTGTGTTGGGGGGTGACAGGGTCTGGGCACTGACACAGCCAAAAATAGCCTAGTCGTCTTTGTCCTTGGCGCCGTGTTTGAGGATGCGGGTGAACTCCACATAGTTAAAGTTGCCCTTCTTGTCAATGGGTGCCTCCCGGTACATCTCATCCACCTCCTCATCTGTGAATCGGTCACCCATGGTGGTGAGCAGCTCCCGCAGGTGGTCCTCATGGATGAAGCCTGGGGCACGGCATGACAAGGTCAATGAGGGCAGGCTCCGGCTGCACCCACTCATTCCCCATCCCCCACCCCGGCCCTGGAGACTGCATAGGCTGCACCCACTCATCCCACCCCCCAGCCCTGGAGACTGCATAGGCTGCACCCACTCATCCTCCACCCCCCACCCCGGCCCTGGAGACTGCATAGGCTGCACCCACTCATCCCCCACCCCCCACCCCCAGCCCTGGAGACTGCATAGGGGGAGACGGGCTAGACGACCCTGTTCTGGTCTTCAGTCACTTTGAGGGAAAAGGATAGGGATGAAGAGTTTGGGAGGGGCCCAGAGGGAAGAGTTCTACAGAGGTACCATCCACGGTGTCTGATGGGACCATGGCCCCACGAGGAGGAAACTTTGCTGTGACACTGGAAGGTTTAAAGGATGATGTTGTGGCCGACAGGTGCAGTCAGGAGGTGGGAAGCCTTGTGTACGTGTTGCACCGGAGCTTGGAGACAGTGATGTCTGGCCTGGTCCCTTCCCCTGTAGGCACTGAGTACCTTGTGCCTCCTGCCCACTGAGGTCTCCCGTGTGCACTGACCTGAGACCTCCTCGTCAAAGCAGGCAAAGGCATTGCGGATTACATCCTCGGGGTCTGTGCCGTTCAGCTTCTCCCCAAACATCGTGAGGAACATGGTGAAGTTGATGGGCCCTGGTGCCTCGCTCATCATGCCTTCCAGGTACTCATCCGTGGGGTTCTTCCCTGTGGTGGGTGGGCATGGGGGCTGCTGTTCCTAGTTCTCTGTCCCCAACCTGGGTAACTCATTCCCAGTGACCTCCCTGAACTGGGTAGGCTGGGAAGCAGGTGCCAGGCAGCCAATTTCCTGCCTTCTCCTGGGCATGCAGCACCTGTCCCTGCCTGCTTCTGAGGTATGAGGGTGTGCCACAAGTCCCTGGCCGCTCCACCTTTCCAGTGTGAGGTCACCCCCCTGCCCCGTGCCTCTGTGCCTGCTGCACCACCAGCCTGCCTTGAATATTTGATTTTCGCCTGTGTGCCAACAGCATCCTTACTGCTTTTTCTACAGGCCAGGAACCGAGGTACAGAGAGGCAGGGTAGCTTATCCAAGGTCACACAGCTAGTAAGGAGCAGGGTCAGCAACCACACCCAGGCAGTCTGTCCCCAAACCCAGATTCAGAAGTGGCTGCATCAGTGTGTGCTGGTGTCACATTTGCTAGGATTTAAACTAGCTCTGTGCCCCAGGTTTTTGTGTCTTTAGAATTGTGAAAATGAGACAGTTGTCCTAAAGTGGCAGTTGTTGGCACAGCTCAGGGATGCTGAACACAGGGCTGCTGCATGACCTTGGGCAGATTGCTGGTTCTTTCTGAGTCTTCCCGCTGCCCTCCTTCCTTCCCCCCTCCCTCCCTCCCTCCCTCCCTCCCTCCTCAAGACAATATTTCTCTATGTAACAGCCCTAACTGTCCTGGAACTCACTCTGTAGACCGGGCTGGCCTTGAGCTCACAGAAATGCACCTGCCTCTGACTCCTGAGTGCTGGGAGTAAAGGCGTGTGCCACCACTGCCCAGCTCCCTTTTTTATTTTTCAACTTGAGAGCAATGTTTTTTTTTCTATTCCTTTTCTTTTTTTGAGGGAGCACCATCTTTATTTTTATTTTTGCTTTTATTTATTCTTCTGTCATATAATACATCCCTCCCTCCACCCCTCCCAGCTCCCTCCTCCCCACCTCTCCTCTCCCCCAGACCCACCACTCCTCCTCCATTTCCCTTCAGAAAAAGGCAGGGCCTCCTAGGGATATCACCTGAACACGGCATAAAAGATACAATAATATTAGGCATAAAATCTCATATCAATGTGTGAAGAGGCTACCCGAAGGAGGAAGAGGGTCCTAAGAGCAGGCAAAGAGTTAGAGACACCCCCTACTCCCACTGTTATGAGTCCCATAAAAACACCAAGCTAACAACCATAGCATATATTCAGACTCCGTGGTTGTTGCTTCAGTCTCTGTGGGTCTCTAGGAGCCCTGCTTAGTTGATTCTGTGGGCCTGTTTCCCCATCAACACAAATTTTCATGCAGGTGCCGGTGCTTTTCTTTAAGTGAGATTTACTCCCTGTCTACTCACCCAGAGAGGCCAACATGTCGTGTAGATCCTCCTTGTCAATGAAGCCATCACGGTTCTGGTCAATCATGTTGAAGGCCTCTTTAAACTCCTGGATCTGGGACTGGTCAAACATGGCGAAGACATTAGATGTAGCCCTCTGGGGCCGCTTCTTGGTGGTCTTGGCCTTGGCTCGCTTGCTGGACATCTTGGCTTCTGGTGTTGGGGCTTCCCTGCAGGAAGGGTGTGCGGGATGATGATGATGGGCATCCTGCCTCCCCCCTGATGGCTTTTAGAGCTAAGTTTGGCATTCAAGGCCTCCTATAGGATTGGGCCTTCAGCCATCCAGTTCTGAGAATAGCCTGGAGGCTGTGATCCTGAATATCTCCATCTTTCATCATCTGGGAATGGGGCAACAGGGCATCCTTCAGCACGATTAGTTAGTTTAGTATCTAGAGAGCCCCTGGAGTGGCACTGGGCATAAAGAGAACTAATTTTGCTAGGACTGGGTAAAACATTAGGGTTGTCTTGGTGCCAACCATTAGGATGTACTGTCTACTTTATTCCTTGATAGCATGTGACCATCTCTCTCTCAGTGACAGGGAGGTAGGGCCCTGCTAGGAGGGAGCTGACCAGCAGCACTGCACTCCTGACGTTACTCTTCCCCAGCCCTCTCCACCCTGCACTCCCCCAGCCCTCTTCACCTCTGCATTCCCCCAGCCCTCTCCACCCCTGCATACACCCCTGCATCCCCCAGCCCTCTCCACCCCTGCACTCTCCCATCCCTCTTCACCCCTGCACTCTCCCAGCCCTCTCCACCCCCCTGCACTCCCCAGCCTTCTCCACCTTCTGTGCTGTCCTGCCCCATTCCTCTGGGCTTTGGAACCCAGCTGCTTTCCTCAGGGAGCCTGACTGGTCCCTAGTGGGCCCTTTGTCACTTCCTGTACATTGAAGCTCCCTCAGGTTGAGACTAGAGATCGAGTTAGATGTGGCCTTTTGGCCGTGGACCAGTCTGTCCCATGCCACTCAAACTCAGACCTCCACTCCAAAGTTCTGTGCTCTTCTCCCCACATCCCCACAGTGGATCTAGGTCCCCCGGCCTGGCATTGAAGGCCCCAATGTGTTCTCCCAGCTTCTGGCTGACCCTGGCCTATCACACTGTGACCCCTTGATGAGAGCTCATCTTTCTGGTGACCTCCAGCATTCCACAGCCATTCCCAGGCCTTCCTTCCAGAAGCTCCTTCTATAGCTGTCTCCCTCCGGCTGAGCTCTGGAGTCCCTGGGGTAATGTTCTTCACCCTTATCTTGACAACCAATATTTGCAGACTCCCTCATTCCTTACTGATAGCAAAAGTCCACAGCAACAGGCTAGTGGATGACTCTTTAGTGTAAGGTTATGTGAGCGCCACTGTACAAATGGGGAAACTGAGGCCAGGGAAAGCACCCAACCCGAACCCGTCATAGCTTGTGGGGAGGATGCATCTCAAGACTTAGAGTCTGCTCCCTCTCAACTAGCCAAGGCCCTAGTATGTCTGCCCCTCTGTCCTGTGCTCTGTCCCCTGGGCCTGCGCGCTACTTCCTCTGCCCCTGCCTGTGGTACTCCACCCCCAAGCTGGATCATGGGTCTCAGGCTGCATCTGCCTGTAGTCTTGAGACTAGCTGTGTAAGGCCCAGCGGGCCCCATCACACGACAGGCTTTGCTATTTCTTTGTGCGGCGCTGAATGGGTGTTGGTAAAAACTGAGGGCAGGAATGTTATCCTTGGAAGCCGGCCCCCTCCTCTCCCATGGCCAGGCTGAGATGGCCATCAACGTTCTTATCTGCAGACCTCTAGGGCAGGCCTAGCCAGGCTCCCCTGTAGCTTGTCACAGCCACCTGTGTCCCTGCCCTCTTCATCCAATGCATGCCCTTGAGAGGGTTGGGTGCCAGGACACCAGGTTAGGCTGGGGTCAGTGGGTGGCAAAGACTGTGGCCAGGCAATTTCTAGAGGTGAGGGCTAAGCTGGGCCCTTAACCCTGAAGCCGTATTTTCCCCTTTCTTGGGTCCTAGACACCAAGGATCAGACAGTTGGTACTTGGCCTGGCCATGACTAGACAGACCACTTCTTCCTACTGTAGCGGCTGACACCCAGGCAGAAGCCACCCCAGACTTCTTCCTCATAACTATCCCCATAGCTGAGCAGTGCCAGATGCTCTTGAACCAGCTTATTAACGACCAAGTTCTCCAAGTCCCTGGAAGCACCAGGGCAGCCAGCGGGCTGTGAAGGAGCAAAGACCCCGACCTTCCCACCTCATTGTTCTGCCTGGTGCACACAGCACCTATAGTCAGTGGGGGAGTGAGGGTGGTCACCTTTCCTCCCTCTCCTGACCCAGGGTGTGCAAAGGAAAGGAAACCTGTGCTCTGGAGGTGAATGGAGCCCCGCAGGCCTCAGTTTCCTCTGACACACAAGGTTTCTTGGGTCAGGGCCCCCTCACGCATCTCTACAGGCGGGTAGCCTGGAGCTCTGGGCTTCGTGTGTGTGTCTCCTTAGCAAAAGGACACTCTAGATACTTTTCCTTGCCCGAAGACCAGTTTTCCAGGGCAGGGAACCATCAATTGCTCAGTCCCCAGCCAGGTCCCCATAGGACCCGAGCAAGATAGCAGCCCCAGCCCGCACCAGTCTGCATGCCACAACCCTCTGGGGGCCGGATGAGGTTCGGCCTGACCACCTACTGTAGCTGCCCGGGCTCTGCACCGGTTCCCACCTGCTGTAGAGAAGAAAAGTCCCGGCCGGCCGGTGCTACGGTGTTGCTGAAGCTGGCTGGCAGTCGCTGGGGCCCCTGCTCTGAGCTCTGGGGGCGGAGACTGGGCTGGCGGGACAGCCTGTGGCCAGGCCTTACTAGGCAGAAGAATGCGCGGGGGTGGTGTGGGGGGCGGGGCCGCCGCAGCCAGCCGGGCCTTATTAGGTCTCCGCTTGCAGGCTGAGCGGGCAGACTGCTCCCGGGATAGCCCCCCTCATCACTGCCTATGATGGGGTCGGTCCAGGCTGGGGCATGGAAGCAGAGTGAGGTGCCCAGACTGGTAAGAAGGGTGGAGTCTTGAGGCTTCCCGCTCTCCGACCCCTCCCCGTGTGTCCCGGAGTCCTCGTCCTCCATCCCCCTCTGTGTGGGTTTGGGAAGGCTGGCCTTTACTAGACCAAGTATGGTCTTTTTTCAGTGGGAACCGAGGACAGTCCTCATAGCGGTGGACATCACACGTTCCCTAGGGAACTTTACAGCATCCAGTTACTTTGTAAATAGCTGCCTGACCCTGCTATGGGGCAACTAATGCATCTGCCCAGGGAGCCCTGGGAGGGAGATGTGAAACCCCCCAGACACGGGACAGTTCTGAGCAGAAGGGTTCAGTGACCTGGGTTGAAATAGAGTAAAAGTGACACCGGGGACCAGCGAGGAGCTATTGAGAGGGGATGGGGCTAGACATGGGTGTTTCATGCCAGTAATCACAGCATTCGAGAAGCTGAGGCAGCTGGGTATATAGCAGCAGGTTCCAGGTCAGTCTGAGCTAGAGTGATGCTATCTAAAGGAATAGAATCTAACAGCTTTTATCTGCCCAGGGCAACGTTAGAGGTAACAGGCGAAACACTTCTCAAGTTTAGCATAAACGCCAGAAGTCACAAAGGAAAAGGTTTCAGCGCAGGACTAGAGAGAGGGTGGAGGAGGCGGAGGTGCAGGCTCGGGGCAGCCGGGGGGTGAGAAGGGGAAACCCTGGAAACATTTCAGTGCTTCAGCCAACAGGACTTGGAAATGGATCCGCCTGGAATGACACAGGACAAAGTTGGCTCCAAGAATTAAATTTTTTTTCTTTTAAAATTATATTTATTTGTGAAGGGAGTTGGTGTGGACGCTTTCAGGAGTCCGTTCTCTCCTTCTTAGTGGTCTGGGGGTCAAACCTGTTGTCTGGCTTGCCAGCAAGTGCCTTTGCTGTCACAGGCCCCAGCTCGAGAATTAGGGCGGGGGGGCAGCTGGAGAGAGCGGTCATGGGCTGAGTGGGTGTAGGTAGGGCAGATTTTGGAGAGAGGCATTTCGTCCCGATGTATTGATTTTTGGGAGCGTTCTTTTCAAGTACACAGTAAGGTTACAGAGCTATACAGAAAACTGACTTAAGTGAGATTTCCCAGTTGCACCTGGCTCTTTACTCTTACCCTGTGGGTATATACGATTCCCCAACCCTTAACAGTTTATCACTACATGTGATATTTTAATACATCCTAAAAGGGTCTCTTACATATTGGTAACATAATTGTCAAAATCAGAAGTTTTAACATGGAGATAGGTATCTAATTCACAACTGTGTCATGTATCCCAGTAATATCTTATATGGAGATTTGTTCTGGTCCAGGTGTGTTGTCGTGGTTTTTAATCTCTGTTTGTGGGGGGGCACATAAAATACACATAACATGAAACTTTTCATTTTAACAATTTTTAAAAGGTTGTTTTATTGTTGTTTTGTTTTTTGAGACAGAGTCTCTTTACATAGACCAGGCTGGTCTCGAACTTACAGAGATCCACCTGCCTCTGCCTCCTGAGTGTTGGTATTAAAGGCACGTGCCACCATGCCCAGTTTTAAGAGTTTTGAAATTATATTTTAGATTTTGCGTGCATGGGTATGTGCATATGAGTGCAGGTGTCCCTGGAGTTCGAGGAGACTTTGGATCCGCTGGTACTAGAATACAAAGGAGTTGTGAGCTGCCTGCCGTGGGCACTGGGAACCAAACTTGGGTCCTTGTGACCACTGAGCCATCTCAGCCCTTTTAAGACTGTTTAGTTGTGTGTGTGATGGGGTAAGGTACAGGTGCCAAGGGCAGCCTATGGGGGTTGGAGGGTGACTCATGAAATTGGTGCTTTCCATTCATCTTTACATAAGGTCTGCTGGTAGAACTCAGGTTACCAGACTTTTGCCACAAACTCTGTTACCTGCTGATTCATCTCACCAGCTTTCCATGTTTTTTGTTTTAGTTTTATTTAATTTTCTGTGCATGTGTATATATGAGGTGATATGTATTATATATATATACACACACATATACACATACATATATTTTTGAGATGATCTCATGTAGCACATACTGATCTTAAACTCTGTGCCTCTGAGAATAAATACCCTTGAATTCCTTATCCACGTCCACTTGTTTTTTTTTTTTGGGGGGGGCAGCAGTTTTTGAGACAGGGTTTCTCTGTGACTTTGGAAGCTGTCCTGGAACTAGCTCTTGTAGACCAGGCTGGCCTTGAACTCACAGAGATCTGCCTGCCTCTGCCTCCTGAGTACTGGGATTAAAGGCATGCACCACCAACGCCTGGGTTCCACTTCCACTTCTACTTACTTCCCTGATGGGGGAAGTCCTTCTGTGTATATGTTGTCCTATTGGTTGATAAATAAAGCACTGTTGGCCAATAGGGAAGCAAGATAGGTGGGAGGGGAGTCGATGAGGATTCTGGGAAATATAGTCAAGAGTAGAGTTGCTATGTCATCCTGGGGGAAGAGAGGATGCATGAGGTTGTGTTCTTGGTAAGATAAGACCTTATAAAAATATATATTAGAGTCCGGCATTGGTGGCATACGCCTTTAATCCCAGAGCTCAGGAGACAGAGGCAGGCAGAACTCTGTGAGTTCGAGACCAGCCTGATCTACAAGAGCTAGTTCCAGGATAGCCTCCAAAGCCACAGAGAAACCCTGTCTCAAAAAAAAAAAAAAATATATATATATATTAAAAACAAACAAACAAACAAAAACCCTGAAAAATATATATTAGTAATTATGGGTTAATAATTAAGTCAGACCTAGCCATTAAGAAACCATAGCAAACAGCCAATAGCTTCATAATTAATATAGTGTCTTGTGTGTTATTTGGGGGCTGAGACAGCAGCGGGACCCAGGCAGCTGGCAGGAAGAATACACAGTATTTCCCAAGTGCTAAGATTACGGGTAGTGTTGGAATCAAACCCATGGCCCCCTGCGTGCTAGGCAAGCACGTTTACCAAGTGAGCTACATTTTTAAGTATACACACACACACACACACACACACACACACACACACACACACACCTTGAGTTGAGCACGATGATACATACTTTCTAATCCCAGCACTTGGGAGGTAGAGGCAGGCAGATCTCTGTGAGTTCAAGGTCTACACAGTGAGTTCTGGGCTAGCCAGAGCTATAGAATAAGATCCTATTTGACAGAAAGAACAAGAGCTGTACCATGGAGTGCCATGTCCAACCCCCATTTCCTTACTTTGTAAAGCTGAATACTGCTCCATTGTCTGAATGTGTCATATTTTGCTTCCCCACCTTTGGAGGACTATTTTGAATGTCTTCCTGTTTTGATTATTGGGCATACTGCTCCAAATAGGGGCATAGCTCAATGGTAAAGCACCTGCTTAGCCTGCATGAGGCCTAGCAATGCAAAAGAAAAAAGGAAATGAATGAAAAATGCTGCCTTTAATTTTTGTTTAAATTTAATTTGTGTGTATGGGTATTTCATCTGCACGTATGTCTGGGTATCACTGGAGTGCTTAGTGCCTGTGGAGGCCAGAAGAGGCTATTGAAGCTCCCAGGACTAGAATTACAGATGGTTGTGAGCAGCCATGTGGCTGCTGGGAATTAAATCAGCATCCTCTAAAAGAGCAGCAAGTGCTCTTAACCACTGCCAAGTGTCCAATGTTGCCCCTCCCCACCAACTTTTTTGAGACAAGGTCTCATGCAGCTAAACCTGGACTCAAATTTGATATATAGCTGAGGAGAAACTTTAATTTCTTATCATTCTGCCTCTACATTTAAATGCAAAGATGAGCCGGGCGTTGGTGGCGCACGCCTTTAATCCCAGCACTCGGGGGGGGGGCAGAGGCAGGTGGATCTCTGTGAGTTCCAGGCCAGGCTGGTCCGACAGCCTCCAAAACAATACAGAGAAACCCTGTTTCGTAAAAACCCAATAAATAAATGAATAAATAAATAAATGCAAAGATGGCAGGCGCATACCACCACTCCTAGTTTTATGGTGTGCTTGGGGTCGAACCCAGAGTACCATGCACGAAATGCATCAACTGAACTACATTCCCAGCCTGAAGCTGCTTTTCTTTGTTTATTTATTTATTTATTTTTTCTTTTTGAGACAAGGTTTCACTAGTTCATGGCTGGCCAGGAATTCACTGTTTAGACCAGGCTGACCTAAAATTTATAGAGATTTACCAGTCTCTGCCTCTCAGGTGCTGGAAGTAGAGACATATTTTGTCACACCTTGTTGGTTCCTTTGTTTTTGAGACAGGGTCTTACTTGGTAGCTGAGACTGGCTTTGAACTTACCAGACTTCTGAGTGCTAGGATCATAGGCATGTCCTACTATGCCTGGCAATAATGCTACTTTAAACAGCTGTACAAATAACCTCAAGACCCACTTTCAGGTATTTTTAGTGCATGCCCAGAAGTAGACTTGCTGGATCATATTGTAATTTTTAAAATTAAATTAAATATTTTATTGAAAATACATTTTTTTCATATATCGTGAGTATGATTTCCCCTCTCTCTACTCCTCTCAGTTCCTCCTCCCCTTCTTTCCCCACCCTGACCCTCCCTTCCCCTCCCATCTGGATTCACGCCCTTTCTGTCTCTCATTAGACGACAAATAGGCTTCTAAGGTATAATAATAAAGTGTAACCAAAGAAAATATAATAAAAGAAAACCTAACACATTAGGATTAAACAAGACAGACAGAAGGAAAGACCCAAGAGAAGGCACACAAATCAGAGACCCGATACTCACATATACGCGAATACCAACCATATTTGTCTGTCTGTATCTGGGGCAGCACACTCAGAATGATTTTATTTTAGTTCTGTCCATCTGCCTGTGAATTTTATGTCACTCTTT